CATCCTTGATAGGTTTTGCATGGGAGCCGCATGGCGTGACCTAAATGGCAGAAAATCCAATTTTAACAAAATTCTGCATTACGTAAAGGAAATAAGGTAAGCCATTCCCTTTATTTATTTATTTGCAATCACGTGACAAACCGACGCGCATAAATCATGTGAACAAACAGATCCATGGATATGGAAGTCTGCTGCACGTTGGGTATGCTGGATGAAGTTCAAGCCAAAGCGTTAAAAGAAGCAGGATTAACAGCATACAATCATAATCTGGACACATCACGAGAGTATTATCCCAAGGTCTGTCCAAGATCGTCAAATTCACTCTTATCCTCATTGTCTATTAAATCTTTTTTTTGTTTTTGTGTCATTGCTTGAAGATCATAACCACCAGATCGTATGACGAACGTCTTGAAACAATTTCGAATGTCCAAAACGCGGGTATTTCGGTATGCTCCGGAGGTATCATAGGATTGGGTGAAAATTCAGAAGATCGTGTAGGTATGTTACATACCTTGGCCACATTACCTCAACATCCTGAGAGTGTGCCAATCAATGCACTCGTACAAGTTGATGGCACTCCGCTAGAAAAACAGGAGGTTTGTGATGAATTTTCATTAAAAAAAATTTTTTTTTAAAAAATAAATAAATAAATATGATGTATGTATGTATGTATCCATCCTTGTCTCTAATTCATTTAAAACTTGTTTTGCACAGCCCGTTTCGATTTGGGAGATGATCCGAATGATCTCGACATCGCGTATAATCATGCCCAAATCGATGGTAAGATTATCAGCTGGTCGTGTACGGTTCTCAAAACCGGAGCAGGTAATTTCTCATCATTTCTCAATGAATTTTTTTTTTGTTCGAGTCATTATTTACTCTTCATACAAAACAATGGTAGTCTTTGTGCTTTTTGGCCGGAGCAAATTCCATATTCACCGGAGATAAATTGTTAACAACCGATAATAATGATTTCAACGAAGATCAGGAAATGTTTGAGATCTTAGGTA